TCCAGTTTTTTGATTGATGTCATGCTGTGTGGATCAATGACGTACTATAGTTATCAATAGTTATTTAATAAAAGGGTACTACAGCATAAATACCTTTCTGTTAACGCAGTAATGGATACTGCGAAGGAGTTACTGAGTATCTGTTGTTTTTTGTAAAAATGTTCACTGTTTTTCTGTGTATCATGTATCCCACTTATTGAGGATCAACGCTATTGATTGTCTAAATGTCAAACTGCCAATTTCTATAATTTTCTTTTGCATAAATTCTGACGATATCCTGAACAGTAATTGTTTAAAAATATGTAGAAGCAGCAACATTTCTCTTGGCAGCAGAGCGATACTATCAAATCTGCAAAGTACAAACTTGTGTGAAGCATATCTTGAGTAGTAAACACTGGTATACCAACAGTGAACCTACAAGCAACCAGTAAAGTTTGTGTGTGTGTTTACCATGTGTGTTTCTGGGGTCAGATTGGATTCATTTCGAATCCTTTTATAAATCAGAGATTAGCAAAGAGACTGTGGAAAATTATTTTGAAAGCACATTTTATGATCAGTATTTCTTCACTTGCATGTTTTATTGTTTGGGATTAAAGTTATAAATGGGATGCATTCTTTGACATGCATGCATGGAGGGATGGTGTTCTCTAAGGTGTTTGTTTTTGAGCTATCCAAAGTAATCTGGCACTGCAAAATTTCCTTTTGGTGGGTGGAGTTTGGCGATATCAGCCTCCGTCCTCTGCCATTTGTCCTCTGCATGTGGCGCCCGTCGCAGACTGACAGATGGGGAAGAAAGTTGCGCATGATTGCGATACCAGTAATAAGCAGATGTGCATGGTATGATAACCGTCAGTTTTCATACCATGGCATACCATAAAACTGGTATACCGCTGCAGCACTATTTAAGACCAACTTGAAAAATCCAGCACCGGTCCTTTGAGCTCATAGCAGTGTCCAATGTGGTATAGCACTGAGACTAAACGATAAAAAATTTATGCTCACTTGCTGCATTGTCTTTTTTTAGCATACCAAATTCCCCTGAAGAAAAAGAAAACAACGGTAATGGAGCAAGTCTCTACTTTAGTGTCGGCAACAGTCGCTCAGCTCAGAGAGATGGATGCCGTCATGCAGGCTCAGGAGGATGCCCGGCTACAGAGATTAATGGACCATGAGAAGGAAATGCAGAACAATCTAATGAGCCAGCTTGTAGCCATGCACGAAAGGATCAGTCAAGAAAACCACGAGAGACACGTTGAACTTGTCAACAGGATACTCTCAAGGTTCCCTTTACCTTCAGCTCCTTCAGGCCATTGACTGAATCTTCCAGTGCGAGTGCTGCAGAGTTATGCAAGTCTACCGGACTCTCTTCTCCGACAGCTGACTAGTGCCTAAGCCCAAGGTCTTTTATTTATTTATTCTTCTGAGTTGCTCATCGTCTGTTTGATTGCTGCACTTAATCTGAACGCCCGCTAACTCCTACAGTGTGAACATAGCCACAAATTTAAATTAAATAAAAATGCAAGCCCCCCCCCAAATGTAATGTAGTATTTAATGGATGGACGGATGTACAGGTATGTGCCAAAAAATTTGAATATCAAGGAAAAGTCCATTTATTTCAATAATTTGTTTCAAAAAGTGAAACTTGTATGTTATATTAGTTCACTGCACACAAAGTGAAATATTTCAAGCCTTTATTTGTTTCAATTTTGATGATTATGGATTAAAGACAAAAAAAACCCAAATCCAGTATTTCACAAAATTAGAATATTTCATGTGACCAATAAAAAAAGGATCTTAAACACATGTTGGCCTTCTGAAAAGTGTGTTAATGTACTGTATTATGTCCTCAGTACTTTGTTGGGCCTCCTTTTGCA